TTAAGGAAACAAAAATGAGAAATAGGCGAGATAGGTTGGTAGGACATCTTCTCAAGCATGAAGGTCTAGACAGAGACATATTAGAGGCAGAAACAGGAGATAAGAGGAGTAGAGGTAGACCTAGATTAGATTAATTTTAGCAAATAGTTGCGGGTGTGGGTTGTTCTAGTTTTGGGGAAATGCGAAGATTAGCTCAGGATAGGACAGAGTGGAGGTGCATGTTCAATCAGTCTTAGGATTGACANTGAAATAGTGTACAGCGATTGTGTAAACCCAAGATTGCTTAAAAATATGAAAACCATATTTTGGCTTTGTTATTACAAGGGATGGAAAATTAGTGAAATAGCGGATATAAAGATAGGAGACGAAAAACTAGAAGAAATGGCCGATTTTAGGACGGAAGGAGTAGTAGCGATATAAAGCACAGGTTCGAGTCGCCTTCAATAAAAAGAGGACACTTATTCTGTGCTCGGGAACGGTTAATTTAGAAATTCGAAAAAAAAAAAATGTTAAAAGTGTATGTACGGCTGCGAAACATGGACGGTGGGCGCGGCTGAAAAGGTTAGAAGCGTTCGAAATGTGGTGTTAAAAGGGAATGATGAGAAAACCCAGGATAGAGAAGGTTATAAATGAATAGGTATTAGAAAGAATTGAAAGAATAAGAGAACAGAGGACTCTAAGGAAAAAAAAATAAGAAATAGGCGAGATAGGTTGCTAGGACATCTTCTCAAGCATGAAGGTCTAGTCAGAGACATATTAGAGGCAGAAACAGGAGACAAGAGGTGTAGAGGTAGACCTAGATTAGATTAATTTTAGCAAATAGTTGCGGGTGTGGGTTGTTCTAGTTTTGGGGAAATGCGAAGATTAGCTCAGGATAGGACAGAGTGGAGGTGCATGTTCAATCAGTTTTAGGATTGACAGCCCTATGATGATGATGATGATGATGAAGCAATCCTGAGAGAACCCATTATCTCAATGTAGAAAAAAATGACATGGGCACGAAAAAAAATTGACCGTTTTAAAATTCTTGAATAAAAAAATAAAACAGCTACATCAAATGCAAACAAATTTTCATTACGAAATTAGGAAGTATGAGAAATTTGTGATTGCTAATTAGGTACTTAATTTTGCGATCAGTTTTTTGTCTTATTATTTCTTCTTGTCCAAGAAAAATTCTTGGGACCAGAACAACAATAGCAAATGATTCTTACTATACAGTGTTTTAATTAAATGACGGTCGACATATTCTTCAGCTCAAACTTGTGATGCTATTCATAAATGAAAAGTTTTATTGCTGCAATTAAGCATCCGTTTGTCTACAACCGGTCGGATACACAACATGTTTCCTCCTTCGGATGCACCGTTTCCGTGGTTCTACAAATAAATCACAGAAACGTTTATTACAGAATTGGACAATGAAATTCCGAGTAGTCCGAAATGATGTTCTCGGCTTAATTTATTTCCTGGGGTACACACACACACACAGTACGTTAGACCGAGAGAGTCCCGCCGCTCCGGCACTCCTCATCTTTCCTTAACCCTCTTTCTGAATGCCCGACTGCCGAGAATTTGCAGACCATTAACCAAATTACATCTCTCCGGGATTAAACATGTTCGCGAGTTCAGTGAAATTACAGTGCATATTATTTCCCGGGCAGATTACTACTGAACAACGTTATTCCATTGGTTAAGATGTTAAACTGACCTCTTACTCACTTCTCTGTCCTTTAAACCTCAACATCACCAACGCAACCAAATGCATGTATCCAAAGATACAGATTCGTACTAAATGAAGTGTTTTCTGGAAAGCCTTAAGTTGACCTATGTTTCCAGAATAATTTTCATTCTTTATATTGATGCAGTAATAGTAGCAGAGACGGGGGTGGAGATAGATCTAGATTACATTATTGTTCGCAAATATCCCTAGACAAAATTTTTCAATCTCTCTCCAGTTTCTCAGAGTCTTTCAGCGTATCTCACAGTCTTTCACAGTCTCTCAGTTATTGCCTCAGTGTTTTTATTGATCTCTCACAGTCTGTGTATGAGAGACTCGAACGACGAAATTGTTAATTCAGAGATTCGAGTCTCTCCCAGAGAGACTGGATGAATAAAACTGAAAAATTAAGAAACTCGAGTCTCTCGTAGAAAGACTGGGATCTCTGAAATATGTTGAACATAAAAAATTTTAACCATGTCCATCGAGACACCACTTATTATCGTTCAGAGACTGGATACGAAATGAGGATCTCTCTATGAGCGACTCGAGTCTCTCGTTTAGAGATGCTAAACAGTTTCTTTGACAGTCTCTCTCAGCGACACCAGAGAGACTCGATGAAAGACGGAGACTCTAGTCGCGCTTTCGGAGACTCTGAGAGACTGAACATTTTTATCTCGGGTTCAGTTTGACTCAAGATAAGAAGAAGTGAAGTTGTAAGTAGAAATTTTTATGGTTTTAAATCGAATCTGCGTTATTAAATTGTATACTTCATCAAGGAAGACCTGATCGATTGTAACTGCCGGAAATCATAAAATTCAGACACAACAAGGAAAAAATTCATTAAAAGTTCAGTCATGAATTCCAGAAGAAACGCTGGGACCTTTTTATTTTTAATTAATCATTTATTCAATTAATTTTTGTTTGTATAGGCTGATCCAGAACAAAGACATTATATATATAATTATAGAAGCGATTTCCTTTTATAAGATTAGGCGATAATATTACTTGTTTATGGAAAATAGGAATTTATGAGAAATATTATATTGGTTTAATTCATAACGCTTTTATTTTATCAGCTTATAAAGGTAAAGGTTCATAAGAATTTTAATAAATATCACTCTGCTTCTTAAAGGTTAGGCAGGTAACTTTGCCTTTGAAAATATCTTGTGAATCAATTATTTGGGGAATTTATGAGATACCAATATATTGCTATTTGCAAGAGGGAATCTTTTTGATGGAAGGAATTCTAAACCGTTTCTATTTCCAGTAAAACGAAAGATGTGTCGATAAAGGTTGAATAACGAAAATGAAAATAACTTTTTCGTGAGGATATTGTTTTTAATATAATAAAATAGAAATTGATATGGAATATGAAGATGTTTTTATTCGTTTTCTTTTTTAATAAAATCTACATATTAGACATGCGATCACGTAAAAGCGATTTTCTTTATAATGTTAAATACGTGTATATCTATGGTTATTGATTTCCCTTATATCTAGTAGGGGTAGCAGTAGATACCTAATACTTCATGCCCTTTATTAATGTATAATGAAACATTTTAAAACAAAATAAAAAAATTTTCCGGTAGCTAATAAGGAAAATTCTTGATAGAAGAAGATTTCAATTATACGAAAGTTAGTAGGTATGAACATACTTCTTGGAAAACTTCACAATTAAGTTTCTCTTCAAGGAAATTCGCTGAACAAAAATATTCCTTTTTTTTTAATAAATAAATGAACATCAATAAACCTCGAGAAAAGTTGATGTTGTCATTGTTAATGTACTTTATTGACAATCGTTTTCCCGTGTGTAATTCATTGTTTGAAAATAGGAAATCCCACGAATTATAAGGAAACATTAAAAAATCGAAGAAAAATAATCATCATTTTCCACAATTCCTTTTACGTATTGTATATATCAATAAACTCGAACTACGTTAACGTTAAATAACCATTTCGTGTGTTATATGTTCGATTATGTGAAAGGCATTCATTTTCACTTTTGATTAAATGGAGAACCGATTAACGACATGCTTTGATTAAACCATCACATGTTGCTCGAGGTTAGAAACACACTGTTTTGTTTTGTTTCCCGATTATTGTGAAGTAATTGATGGGCATTTGTTAGTTAATAGCCTCTACATGTTAGTTTGATGTACTTTTCATGTACAGTTTAGTACTAAGTCTTTGATCGCACTGTTAGCCGCTAATTGCGCGAACAATAACATTGACATTTCAATGAGAATTTTAATATGTGACTTGTAGTTATTGATGACTCTGTAACAACCAAAAAAAAAAGAATACAGTAACGCAGTAATTGCTTATTCCAATCAGTAGTGTTCGACATGGAATAACCTATCCCAAAAAAAAAATTTTAAAAAACTTTTAGGTGTTTCATTCCCACCAGCCGATAAATGCTGGAATGGGGTGAGAAAGATGAGTCGGACTGAAGACAGAAGAGAATGAAATATTATCTGTGGAATATTACTATACTTCATTTATTTTCTGTAGCGATGTGCTCCTTCCAATGTCTTGGATGCGCGCTGGCAAAATCGTAGGTAGGGAGAAAAAAACTCATTATACTCTCGACTCTTCTTCATTAAACATACTTTTTCATACAGTACCTGCCAAAAGTTTTGTTCAATTATGAATGATAGTGCGAGTCGAAAACAAGCGTTGAAGCCTTTAATATGTCTTCAAATATAAATAAACATCTCGTTGATATTGTCAGTAGTAAATGGTACCAATAACAGCACATTTGAGCAATGCAATTTTAGTGGATAAAATTGTCAATTTTTCCGTTCAGTACTGTACGGATTATACGCTCCTCACCGGTTAAGAGAGTTGTCTCCTTCCTTTTCTGGCCTAGTGCTGTTCTTTTCTACTTTGCGCCAGTCAAACTGAAGGTCACATCGCTACAGAAAGTAAACGAAGTATACCTAGCATTTGCCTAAGTAATCTAAGGAAACCACAGAAAAACATGAACCAAGGCAGACGGACCTGGAATCGAACCGGCGTCCTCCCGAATGCTAAGCAATGGTCTAAACCTTTAGGCCATGCCGCTCGGTACCTATCCCAGTAGATGAGCCATTATAAAGTAGTAGCTTATGTTTAATGTATTGCGAATGCGCAATGTGGCATTGAAGTTTAATAGAACGCTATTATAGTGAGAGTAAAAAAATTGATGACCATGGAAATTAGGTATGTATACAATAAAAATCAGGAAATTATATTTACACAAATTAATACGTTATGTATCTAGGTAATTTTATAGTATACTTACAATAAATCTCGATTGCTACAGTCTGTGACATTGGTTGGCTTATATTGTTGTTGGAGGCTTGACAAGTAAATCTAGCGTGCTGATCAGAGCGCTGTAAGCCTCTCACTACAAGCTGATTTGATCGAACGTGATCAAATCCGGTGTGCATTTCCGTAGATTCTAAAAGCGTTTCACTTCTCCACCATTTCAGAACCGGTTCCGGTTTTCCTGGAACAGAGGAAAAAGCGGGTCAATTAATTCTAAATAATAATATATGCAAAAGCTTTATCTTCAGTTAGAGACCCAACCACACTTCTTGAGTGTTGAAACGGATTTTATTAGGGTTTGAAACGCTTTTGTGAAGATTTTTTGTGTTTTTATTAATTAATCTTACTACATAGATCTCATCAGCGCGCTAACGGCAGTTTCGATAATTGAAATCGCAGTTACCGCCTGCTAGTATTGATAAAGAACGATGACAGATGTATCGTCAAATCGGTTAGACAAGTTGAAATACCTTAGATAGGCCTTGTCTAATAACTTTTAAAATGCTTCAGTTGGAGCAAATACCCACTAGATGGCGATGCACTGCTTCTATTTGGTTTTTATTGAGCATGGTAGATTCATTTCAGTTTGAGGCTCCATTTTTTGATAAAACGAATTTAGTTTATAAAAATATTTTAATAATACTCGTTTATTTGTTGATGCATGTTAAAATTTATTCATAATTGTGATCTATTGTACTCAGATTCATAACCTGATGATGCCATTGTGTGACAACAATATTGTCCCTTTATTGAAACTTAATACCTAATTATGGACTCTCTTATTTCGTTTAATAAAAGAATTCATTCAAAAATCCACGCAGCAATTACGTTGGTTGGTCTATAATATACGTAGAATATTTATTCCTCATTTTTTATTTCATCTGAATCTTTCGCTTTTTTTTTTGTTTAGAACGTGCTGAGTCGTCCGTTAGGAAAAAGGGAGTTCTAGGGAACTTTAGAATGATCCAGTGAAACATCTACGTAGAAATAGTCTTGGTAAAGTAGATCTAATTGAAGTGCACTCGACAGTTAGGTAATTTCCGATTACCAGCATTCGCATCCGGTTACGAGGTTGAGGACGAACGAGAGCGTCCTCCAGTAGCCATTTCCAAGCAATAATTTAACGAAGAGTAAAAGAAAAGTTGACACAGATTGCCTCCGTTCACAACTATTCGGATAATTATTAAAACTTTTGTTTTTGATGTTCAGAATGAAAGTTACGAAAACTGAGATACACAAAGTTTACGAATAAAGGGAACAATTAAACTATTAAACTTTAACAAAGACACCTTTTCAAGTTTTGAAGTTGTACCTTACAATCCTCATTTAACAGACTACAGTAAATGTAAAACGAATAAAGCAATTAATTGAAATGTGGCGTTATTAAGAGGACATCAAAAATATTGTGGATAGAAAAAGTTAAAAATAAGGAGGTATCAGAGACAGTGCGACAACAAAGGGCAAGATGGATTGATAGGATACCTTCTCAGACATGACGGGTAAATTACAGACATTTCAGAAACAGAAACAGGAGTGTAGAGGAGCAAAAGTAGACCTGATTAGATTATTGTTCCCAAATAGTGAGATCTGCTTGGGATATAGATACATTGTAAGAGGATACAGGTTTGTGTTACTTTGATTGATAATTTAGTGATTCTGGGAAGACCTAGTTCCTTAATTCCCTATGTATATGTTACTGATCTAAGAGGGAAATACATTTAAGAAGAAGGCACGGATCCACAAAAGAACCGCTAAAATTCTACGGCAGTCAAAATTTTGGAGATATTAGATACAGGCAAAAGGATAGCTTTCTCATAAATACTATTGCTATCTGCTACGAATTTCTCCAATTATTCAAATAATATCGTGAAGGATTTCAATAAAATTTGTCAGAAACCACGATTATATGTCTTACGACTGCACGCATTTGAAGAAGAACTGGAGAACAGAAGAACTAAGCAAAAAATATTAATTAGATTAAAATGGTAGAGACGCAGGTATTCGGGGAAAAATAAAGGAGCGACGGTATCGTAGTGAATCGTGTATCTGGGGGAATTCCGTTTGATACTCCACTCTTAGTTAGCCATTAATTAAATTATGCTAATGGTTCATCTCTTTGCTTCCCCGACAATCTGTACAAACGATCCTAATCCGATTTGTTAACGTAACCCAGTCAAGTTCAGCTCCTTCGGATGGAAGTCGTGCCACCCGCGTTTCCCAGAGACTGATTTCTCCGGAGATAATATGAACGAGTTAGCATGAGCCTACACGAGAGGATGACGTAAATATGTGTTTCGTCTTTACATAACTGCACATTCATACATACGACGTATGCTATGTAATATTGTAAATTGCATGCAATATAGCTTCTGTTATTCATAGCAAACATTGCCAGAACGGGAAACATTCCGCTCTGAATAATTAACTTCATGTTTAAGCAAGGTGAACAACCAAAGCGAAGCCATGTTAAAATAATTACATTGGCTAATTAGTTAGGAACTTTCATACTCTAACAACCACTTTGGAGACATTCGTAGAAAGCCACTGACGTAATAAATATAATACAAAACAATTATAAAACTGCTTCAGTGCAAGAAGCCAACAAGTTCGATGTTAAGAAATAAGGTATAGGTACATAACTATGTTGAATATACACTATGTCTGATCAATACTCCCGAAAAATTCAAGAAAAGAAGGTACAAGGTGCCATGTCCCCATATTCTGCATGTTCTGCACCACATTCAACTTATTTTTGTATTTTGTGGTAATAATTTACCAACCGAACGCTAACGAGTGCAGAGTATTACTAATCATTACGTACAATTGACCTGTCTACGTATCAGCTGTTGCGAAGGTCACGAACAGGTATGTGTGTTTCATCGAAAATCGATAAAATGACGCGATAATTGTTCTCAAAAAATGACGCCTCGTTAACTAGTGTTCTTTTTGTGTACACTTTTTGCATCCCCTACTAAACGAGATGCACTCTACAGTACCCTGAGATGTTACCTTTCAAATTACTGATAAGACATAGGTATACACTGCTGACAATTTTTGAAACATTAACCGAAGAAATTTCAAGAATCATTAAGACATACCTCCTGTGACGATACAAGTCAGTTTTACGTCTCCCCCTTCTTCATAAGGTCCAGCCATTCCCCGAACTGTGTTCCCCTTTTCATCAATAATCTTTGGTTGTTGTGGAGGAACTGTAACAAAGGAAGAGATCCACTTAACAATGTTTATCATAATAAATAATTAAAAATTAGACATTTATTATCTTATTGATAATACAAATGCAATATTCCAAACAAGTAGCATGTTATCAGCTTGAGTCTCTTTCTGGAATTTTATAATAAAAAGCTGATCTAGTTCAGCTTCATGCTAAATGAGTAAAACTTTGTACACATTTATCAAACTTTACTGAGACTAACTTCTGCAAACCATCGCGCCGGATGAAAATGCACAAAGTTGTAATGTGATCTGTCAGTTAAGAATTTATGAAAAATTGCAGGCCTGGCGAAACTGAATACGACATAATTTAGTTTATGAAATATCGCACTTTATAGCATCACTGGTTCTTAAATTAAATCACGCAACCAGTACAAATTTAATTAATTACTTTTTTAATTTAACAAATATGCTCTACATTTTTAACAAAAACTGTTGTCGTAATGATTGTGAACTTATTGCATACGTTGTTCCTCTTTTTAGAGTGTAATTTCAGATGAAGTACTTTTTCCGTTTTGCGACATTTTCCATAAAATTACGAACAGTACTCAACTTTAAAATGAAATAATTTTAGTTCGTGTTTACAATGAGTATTTCAAATTGTTGCATGCTCCGTACACATTTGTAGCATAAACTCTTTGTTTCGCCAGGAGCATGTTCGCAAATAAAGTAGATTTAACTGTTAAGTGTCGACTGTAACTGCCAGAAAAATATCGCCGTAATAAAAACATTGGGACATTGTGAGAAGAATTTTAAATTTCGAGAACTAGTGCTACTAGTAGGTACTGATGTTCTGAACAATGTAAACGACGAAAACTGCAAAATGTACGATAATTAAATTTGACATAGCAGTATTAGCAAGAAGGAGTTAGAGACAGCTTTAAATAAAATGGAAGCGGTATTGACAAAACAGTATTGTATGAAAATAAATAAAAGTAGAACAAAAACAAAAAAAAGTAGGAGAACAGAGGACTATAAATGTCAAAAAATACGCGAGATAGGTTGGTAGGACACCTTCTTAGGCATGAAGGTCTAGTCAGAGACATTTTAGAAGCAGAAACAGGAGTTAAGAGGAGTAGAGGTAGATTGCAGATTAGATTACTGTTAGCAAATGGATAAGGATGTGGGATGTTCTAGTTTTAGGGTAATACGAAGATAGGCTCAGGATAGGAAGGAGTGGAGGTGCGTGTCCAATCAGTCTTAGGACTGACGACCTTATTATAATAACTGTAATTAAAATGAGAAACGAGAATTGGAAGTTGAATCGGTTCATGAATGTATTGTACTTACTTATGAATTGAAACAAATTTTGAAATTATTTTTCTTCAGAGCTTCAACAGTAATTTTTATAAATATTTATCATTTATGGTAATATTTTTAGGTTTCCAGGACGATCAAATTCATGTTGTATTGAAGAGTAGAATCTTTTATGCTGAATAGCGCCTTAAACAGGTACGTACCTACTGCAGACATTTAAAATTTAGATGTATTATATTTTCCAATTTGAATTTTTTGACAAGACTCGCCGAAAAAAGTCGCGAGGCACACCTTCTTTTGGTATTTAAATAAGTCTGGTAACAATTTAAATTTTAGGAGTGGTAAACCAGTACCGAATCGGAACTTTCGGCATACTTTCAGTAGAACGGGTACCTATTTATCGCAGATTTTCCCGAATAAAGTTTCAAAGTGAACGGGGCCTGTGTTACAAAAGACGTGCATACAAACTCTTCGTCAAACTTTGGACAGCCAGCGAGAGGAAAACTTTGATGTGGCGAGGCAAGTGCTCGGCTCCAATATCGAAACTCTTCAAAGCAACACTTCAACTTGTGGTTCCTTTAACTATCTCAGATCTCGACGTAATTTGGGACAAGAAATTTCACAATAAATGAGGCGTGATAGTACTTAACGTTAAACAAGAACCAATTTTAATAAAATCATAGTAAAAGTTTTCTTTAACCTGTAGTGAAGGTGAAACTCTTTCGCCATCGTTTCAAGGATTATTTTCTTTCGACATTTCTTTAATAATGATTTTTATCTAGTATCTATTCTTTAGGACTTTTGCTTTTGTTTTAGGACGCCAATATTTGAAAATTAATGTTTTTCTTGCCCTGTTTTTTTTCTTCACAATTAAAAGTCGAAAAATGAAACTTCTTTATCGACGATAGGAAGGAAAAAAACCGAAAAGAGTAACGTCACGCGTCACGCGCCTTGTGTGACCTCTGGTGGATATATCCGAAAGGAGTCACTTTAACAGGCTTCAGAAGCTAACCTGTTAGTAGCAACCGATAATCTGAAAATTACCAACTGGACAAATTGTCATTAGATCTCGCTTACGCTGTGCTGTATATGTATTGCCATAAGCATTTGTGTTATTTTAATTTGTAATTCATCTCTACAGTTTTGTATGGTGCAAGCGTAAAGGTTTTTAACAAAACTAAACCAACATTCCGCATTCGTCCGCTCGATTTTATTGTTTCAAAAAAAGCATCGTGTAGAGTTATGTGGTCGAACTGCTGGTATTAACTTTTTATAAATGAGATATTTGCTTGGATGTCCTACGAGAGTATGTATAATAAATACAACTATAAATAAATTTTTCACATTACAAAATCACACATGAATTCTTGAAGTGAAAACTGAAAATCGCAGAAAACAAAGTATAAAACAACAAGGACGAAATGTTTATTGAAGGATAGTCTTAAATTTAGTATTATTATAATTAATTTAGTTCTAAATTTCTAATGCAATAGCAGAAAAAAGGACGGAAGTTTCCGAAAACTGTTAATCTGCAATGTGCACAATATTACATTATAATCATTTCCACTATAAATTACATTTTTACATTTAAATTTACGATAAAACAATAAATAATGGCTAAAGCAATAAACAATAGTTGATTTGGTTAAAACAGCCATTTGCCTACATTAGCACAGGAATTACAGCATGATGAATTTATATTTCAACAGTTTAAAAGGTTTACCGTCATTTTAATAAGTAATCGAGTGCGCTGTGGCTTTGTTCAAATTAAATTATAAAATACACCTACGGCTATTTCGAAATCCAAAACTACCTACCACTAACACTTCGTAAATACATGGGAAACTATANAAATTATTTTTTTATTTATATAGCCAATATTGTCTATTATGTTCAAACAATGTAGATTTTTACATAATAATTGTTTGTATTTTGTATTCGCATTTTTAACTTGTTGACTGATCTAACTTTAAACAATCTGCAATGAAAATCATGTACGAGAAATTTGTTGATGAACAATCAATCTCATACATATTTAAAAGGGAACTGGTTCGAATTGCCGTGGCCTAAATTTTTCTGTGGCTTGTTTTTTTTTTTTTTTGATCATTCGGGTCAATGCTGGAAGCTAACATTCCACAGATAACTTTTTAATTCTCTTTCGCCTTCATTTTCCGACGTATCATCTATCTCCTCTACTCAAACACTAACCATCCATTCTTAACAATTCCCATAAGGACACTGCAGAGGATTTTTCGCCCTACCTTCGGGGTTTGTACTTCAGATCATACGGACTACCCATCCAGTAAATTATTAGTACTTAGTTGGTATGAATGAAACATACAAATGTTCTTTAAGACTTGCTCCATTAGTTGGTGGCACTTAAATACACTAAAAAGTTTCTTTTAACGTTCGGCGTTTGACTAAAGCAGGTTAAAGTTAAGGAGAGTTTTGTTGATTGTGAAAATATCTTCTGTCTACCTAAATTCCTTGTAATTTAACAAATTGTAGACTCTTGTTGATATAGCTAGTGATTACTGGAGAAATGGGTCATTTTGTGTAATTCCGACTAAGTTAGCTTTCAAAAGCTCGGTAGTACAACTACATTCGTACGTGTGTGCATGTATGTAGTTTTATAAGTGATGGAAACATGCAAGCAATGTTTATTTTCCTATGTCGACCGCCTCACGAACTCATTCTTTATTACATAACTACTGTTGACTTGACATCACATATTCTAGCCTACTTTACTCGAGACTACTTTAAGAAAGACGTTGTTGCAATTTTCATTGAAATTGATTAAATACGTCTCCTTTCAGAGGGAGTAAGCGAAGCTATTCTACTGCAAGGACTTTAACAAAAAGAAGTTCCTTCTATGCTCGATTCGATAAAGAAAAAGATTGCTAGAGGTATATGTATGGAGCATGGCTCCGTATGGATACGAAACGTGGGCAATGATCTCGGCGGATGATGAGGATACCATCGATAGACAATGAGGAGGTATTAGAAAGAATAGGAGAACAGAGGGTGTCATAGCAGTGAATAAGAAATAGGCGAGATAACCAGTCTTAGGACTGACGATCTTAAGATAATACCTTCATTATAATTATTAAAAAGTTAATTGCTTGGTAAAGGTCTAGATGATGGCCCCCTTCGGGGTGGGGATGGGGGGATGGGGAGATCGAAAGAGGTCTCCCCCACCTCTGCACCATAAAAAGTTCGTGGCGGTCTCACCCCCATAAAAAGTTAAAGGGGTTCAAAGTTAGTAAATATGTCCATTTTCATACATTTATAGGCATGTAAACATTTATATAGTCATTCTTATACAATATTCAAAGGTAAAACTAATGAAAAATACATAAAAATATTGAGAAAGTTATATAAAACATTATTTAAATATCTTTATCAATAGGGTAGGTTAGGTTAGGTTAGGTTATCGGGTTTTGTTCAAGTGACCACCGATCGAAAGGCCCCCATCTCCACCCGCTTTAAAATATATTCTTTTTTATTGAATTTTATTTGAATTATAGTGTATGAAAATTGTCAAAATAATCAACTTTCAACCCCCATAACTTTTTATGGGGGTGAGACCGCCGCAAATTTTTTATAGGGTATTACTCAGGTGACCACCCTCTTTCGATTCCCCTTACCCTCACCCCCATCTAACCCCCATAACTTTTTATGGGGGTGAGACCGCCACGAACTTTTTATGGTACAGCGGTGGGGGAGACCTCCTCTTTTGATCCCACCCACCCCCACCCCCGAAGGGTCATCATCTACACATTTACCAATTTCTTTAATAATTTATTGCATTTTCCATTGTTAATAATGGTTGAAGCTTATTATATGAACAGATTCCTGTTTTCTGTTTGTTTATAACTTGACTTTTATTGGACAGATTTTAATGTGGTTTTTAATAATACTTTTATTATTTATTCAAGTTCTTGAGGTGGTTGTGACGCTCTGACGTAAATAGGTATATGTGGTACGGTTAGCTATTTTCAGATATACATATTTGCGAGACATGTTTATTAATTGTGTGGTATTCTGGCTTACGTTCTCAGAAGCGTTGAAGTTCTTAGAAGGGCAAATCTTTTGTAAACAATTTACAATATCTTGCGATACAAAATTCTACAGTAAATAAAATAAGACGTAACATAATTAATAGAACAAGGTTAAATGAAAATCTCAACAAACATGTTTTTTTACATGCTCTTTACTTTTATTTTCAGTTCATCCCCTAAAGCGTTCAGAAAGCCCCTTTTCACGGCTTCGTGATATTAAGTTGACTAGACAGAAATAGTCATCTGTACTTACCAACAACAAGGAGCTTCACCCTTTGGTTTTTTGTCGGCGAGATGCGATAATCGGTCCTGCAGCGGTATTCACCCTCGTCTTTCTCGCCCACGTTCTCGATTCGCAGGGTGGCAGGGTCAGTGTCTGCCCTGAAAAATGCCCGACCGCTGAGGTTCGAACTTTGCCAATGCTGCGGTAATGAAGTGAGCGATCCTCGAGTGTCATAGCTGAAAGAAAAGGCTGAATGAAGCTGGGAATACTCGAAAGCCATCGAAGCACTATTGGCTTGACTTTTTACTAAACAATTCAAATGACGACGATTTTATTTTAACATAATGTTGTTTCTTAATATTCTAATAAAAACGGTTTGTTTTCTTAAATTTTCTAATGTTCCGCGATACTTTCTTAAGTTTTCCTTTCATAAGAACCTTCTCGAAGACAATAATAGACACAACAAAAAAAGAATTAGCGAAGCTGGTCACGCGTGATGCATGAGCAAGGGAAATAGTGATTCATTTTTGTATATATAGATATAAAGGAGAAAAACAAAAGAAAAACATTATTAAAGGTTACCATAAAACATATATTTGGCAGGCATTCTAAATATACCAAAGACTTTTCGAATTTCTTTTATATCAATGCCAATACTTTTTTTGGTAATTCGATAACATCTTTGTACGAGGGCGGTTCAATAAGTACCCGTGTTTGAAGACGGAGGACGTTCCTGAGGGAAATTGGTGTTGTCATCGTGTGCTGCCACCTATCAAACTACGCCAAAACGAATTTCAGACTGATTGATAGGTTAGTTTGGATTTGGCAGTCATTCGACTGAGACGTGTTTCGTTATTTTTGCTAAGATGGAAAAAAAACAGTATCGTTGGGTAACTCGTTTTTTGTTTTTGGATGGGAAAAAATGTAAGGAGATGAAAACAAAGTTGGATACTGTTTATGGAGACATTTCGTTATCTATGACCACAGTTAGATATTGCTTCAACGAATTTAAACGTGGGCAAAGATCCGTTTTTGATAGGAGCGACCAGGAAGCCTGGCAAACGTTGTTACCGAGGAAATCATTTTACGGATTTTTTAGGAAAAGGAAGAACGATCACTGGACAATACTACAGTGAGTTATTGGACCGCTTCGACAAAAAATTGAAGGAGACACGGATGCATTTGACGAAAAAGAAGGTGCGTTTTCAACACGATAACGCACCGGCACATTCATCAGGAGTTGTTGCCGCCAAAATGCATGAATTACGTTATGAATTTGCTGCCGCACACCCCGTACTTACTTGATTTGACTCCCTGCGACTTCATCTTGTCCCTACCATGAAGAAATGACTAGCGAGAAAGAAATTTAGTTCAAACGAGGAAGTCATCGCCGAGTAAGGGGGGATTTTGGAGAGTTCGACAAATCTTATTTTTTGGAGGGGTAAAAGAAATGGCAGGGTTGTTGGGAAAAGTGTATCTTTCTAAAAGGGGACTATGTTGAAAAATAAAAAAAAAATTTTTAAAAAAAAGGTGTCTTCATTTCTAACACGGGTACTTATTGAACCGCCTTCGTAATCTTTGATGTTTGTCGTTTTCTTTCATTTTTGTGATATTTTTTGATTAGAACAGCGTTCGTGGTAGTATTCTTTATCTCGGTCTCAACTAACATTAAGACGGATTTCACTTATCACTTATTCAAGCAAAACCCTTTGTATGCGTGTCTAAACACCCGTAATTACATAATAAAATTGGCGTTAAACAAGGGTTCGATTGTTTGAAACGAAGTGTACGAATTCGATAATTAAACGTTGACTCCTCCGGATCGAAGAGTACAGATATATTGGACAATTAAATGGCCGAACAGTTGAGATGAAACCGTGGACCTAATTGAATCGGGTCCCATCGATAATTTATTGCAGTCTTTGTTGCAATGGAGTGAGAAACAGGCGCCTTCAGCTAAGCCCTCGAGAACTTTCCCGCTGCTATGTGAATGGCTCATTAAAACTTTCAAACCCTCCACTAAATAGGTCGTACACCACCACACCATTAAATCTTACTAAAGCATAATTAAACTTGCATATTTTCCTGACCAACACATTAGGTACTTAGGAATTTGTTACTTTATATCCTCGTCTGTGTACGTAATTTATATTATTTTATGGGGGACTTAACGATTCTGGAACCATTTTGACAATATTAACTACACCACTACATCTTAAAAATGTACGGCCCACAAATAAAACACGTTTTATATCTAGATATATGACGTAGAAAACGATATTATATTTAATAAAATTACGCGCCGCTGATTCTTAAACAGCACGACTCACTTAGGGAATTAAAATAGTTCGACTGCGCTTTGAAAATTAAAAAAGCGGACATATCTTAATGTGGTTTTTAATAATACTTTTATTATTTATTCAAGTTCTTGAGGTGGTTGTGACGCTCTGACGTAAATAGGTATATGTGGTACGGTTAGCTATTTTCAGATATACATATTTGCGAGACATGTTTATTAATTGTGTGGTATTCTGGCTTACGTTCTNATGACGTAGAAAACGATATTATATTTAATAAAATTACGCGCCGCTGATTCTTAAACAGCACGACTCACTTAGGGAATTAAAATAGTTCGACTGCGCTTTGAAAATTAAAAAAGCAACTATATAAAAATTCATAAAATAAACTTTCTTATGTGAAACAATAATTTACGTTTTGGTGTAAATTTTTTATTTGGTAAGGGTCTTCGGGGGTTGGGGGGCCATTATTTATGGGGGTGAGACCGCCACGAACTTTTTATGTTACAGTGGTAGGGGAGACCGCCTCTTTCGATACCACCCACCCCTACCCCCGAAGGGGCCATCATCTAGACCTTTACCTTTTATTTTTATTATTATTAGTAGAATTGTAACTTTATTTTATCTAGTTAATGTATCTTTATACGTTTATCGGTGTTATGATTTGAAATATGACCTTTTTTCATGAAGATAAGTAACCAACCGGGCAGGCACGGATATATTTTGTATTATTTGAGTCAGTATTGTTTTGGCCAGGCCTGTGTGCAGAACTGTTTTGCATATGATGTAAGTAAACACTTGCATTTAGCACTTGTGGTGCGGTTGTGTTGATTTAACTGTATGGTAATACAAGCCCCCGGCGCGCAAATCTTGTCCTCTCTGAGGATGTAGCTCCTTCGGATCAGAAGACATGTAGGAGAGGGGCCCTACGTGCGCTCGGTTGACATGAAAAATTATTACTTCCAGTGGATTTATGAGTTACACTACTTGAAGCAATTCTAACATTTTCTTTTCTTGGAACAAATCATTTTTTGTATTTGAAATTTTCAGTTTGCTTTTTTGGATTTTAATACTAAATATAAAAAAAGGAAAACTTTACCACTGTTTGGAAAACGAGATTTACAAGTCTAGGTCTTCGATTTGTTTTGCTCTTCACTGAATACAAGTAGATATAGTAGGTACTAATCTATATTTCATATCCTTGACATTTTGTTGGATTTGTCAATAAAAAAAAAATTATATGAACTATTTTTTAAACGCCAGTTTTCCAACCCGAAATTCTGTATGTAATCCTTTCTCAAATACTCCACAAATAAACATTTTACTTCTTTTGTTTTGCTTATTACACCATCTAGGGATGACGTTTTCCTCATTGTGAATAGGTCTTAACATTTGCGAAATAAAACAATAGCTGCCAGACGTAGACTCATACACACATATATGTACATACAGATATTTCAACTGTTCGTTACCTTTCCATTTACGTTAGATAACCCTGTAATATTTATATATATATATAGATATATATCCACATAAATATCCATATGTATTTGTGTGGCATACTGGGATTACGTTGTTTTTTAATACTGTAATGAATGAACAGTTCATCCGTGTGCTTGTTTCTATGTGCTCGCGTGTGTAAGCAACGCTACTCAAACTGATGAATTGCTTCAAGCTCTGTATCGCAGCACACATATGATGCTCATCCTACAATTCAGGTGGATGTACATATTTTGTGCAAATGAACAAGCACGTAAAGGTTCTATCAGCGAACCTGTAAAAGGATTTGAACGCGTTTGGATTACCTGTAAATGATGGACATGCTATTATAATAAAACACTTCAATCTACAAACGATTTCGAAGTAATTATATGCATAAACATCAAACAATAATGAGCTGAAAGGATAACAATTGCTAACGGTTAGTAAGGGTGGACCACTGCAATTGAACACTAAAGTAGAATAGGAAACAAAAATATGTTAATGCATGATAAACATATATTTAGTACCAGTATTACCAAAGAAATACATTATTTCATCACCTAATGCTCCTCAGAGGTGGAATATTTTATACTCATAAAGAAGGTTGAAATTCTGCTGAAAATCCCACTGAAAAAGGACCTCCGACAAAGGATTATGCGCCCCCTGAGCTTTTAAAAAGATTACATGTAACGAAAAAAGATTACGGTGTCGAATGTATTCCCTCATTCTCCATCGGTGCAGCAAGGTAGTGGCGTCATCTCTGAGTTACGAGCATATGCTTATTGTTAAGAACGAATACCACAAGCGGCGATCGATACGGTAGCGTCTTTATAAGCCTGCGTGGAAAGGAAACTACGAGAAGTCTCCGGAAATAATCAGGAATGTTCTGTGATGAGTATATAAATAGGTGAGTGACATCTCCTAAGGGCAGGGAACTGAATCGTTCTTGTTAAAAGGATTGTGTTCAGGTTCGTGTTCTAATCATTCACTTACTAAACTTTCCCTTACTACCTTATAAAAAAAATCTACCCTTACAGCTTATTAAAATAATCATCTACCCTTATAAAAATAATCGTTGAATGTAAAGCCTGCTGTTGTAGAACATTAACCATCTGTCGTACAGATTTAGTATACACGAGTCCAGAAGCGACGATCGATACGGTAGCGTCTTTATTGGCCTGCATGGAACGGAAAGTACGAGAAGTTTCCGGAAATAATCAGGAATGTTCTATAATGAGCATATAAATAGGTGCCTGACATCCCCTATGGGAAAGGAACTTAATCGTTCTTGTTGAGAGAATTTTGTTCAGGTTCATGTACTAATCAATCACTTACTAAACTTCCCTTTAATATCTTATAAAAAATCTACCCTTATAACTTATAAAAATAATCATCTACCCTTATAAATGTAATCGTTGAATGTAAAGTCCACTGTTGCAGAACATTATCCATCTGTC